TGAGATGAGTTGGGTCAACGCTAGGGGGGTGGGCGCAGGCTCAGGGGGGCATGCTCAAGCAGTGGCGAAGCGCCCCGGCTTGTCTCTAGGCCCTTGGGCCCACCAAACATGTATTACGATGCTTCTTTGTGGTCCGCACGACATGTAATTTCATTGAACGCCCCTGAGAGGGGGCAGACACCGCCGCCCCACTCTTTCTGGAACCCGGAGTTTCTCTGCGGGGGTGTCGATGCCGATCCCAGAGGGTCCCAAAAGGCTTCAGGCTTGGAGGGCGGCGCAGCGAGGGCGGCAAGAGGCTCTGAAGACGGCATGACACTGCACCACGCGTGTCGAAGTTTGGGGGCGACATTGCGGTGGCATGCGCAAGCGCAGAAAGAAGCACACACATAAGCCATTGTTGGGCCCTCGGACGGGGAAAGCTATTCCCGTGTACACCTCGCACGCTTCTGGACTCCTCGCGAGGGGAGGTCGGCGGACGCTGCACGTAAACGGAAGCGAGATGTGCTCTCCAGTGATTTTTGAGGCGGACCAGTCGGCGCCAGAGAGTCGCAGGCGATTTCTCTCCCCCAATCCCCGACTTCCGCCAGAAAAGTTTGGTCGCTCAGAAAAGGGGAGGAATCTTGGGATACACCCCGAGGGGGCTATTCGGACGTACCCCTATCGAGGATGGACGCCCCCCCTCGTATATCCCAGGGTTGGGCCCCAAATTTTTTATCCTCTCGAAAACCTCACGAAACCTGGGATAGGGGTCGGCGCATCCCCTGTTAGAGAGCCCCCCCAAAATTAGAAAAACAGCTGTAGAGGGCTCCAAGAGGCCCCGAAAACAGCCCAAGAGGGCACCCTGAATTGTCGAAAACGGCGGCCGAAATGGAAGAGGGACGCGGAGAGGTGAACGAAGCGGTCCGAGTTAGTTTGGGGGCCCCCGAAGGCTCTCCAGGGGCCCCCTGAGCGCGCCCAAGACGGCTCAAGAGGGCGCCAGAAATGCGGCCAGACGGCCTTAGAAGGGTCCGAGAGTCTGTCAGGACGGCCAGAGGGAGCACTCGCAGCTTCCAAGATGGCCGCAAGAGCCCGCAGAGGTGCACGGGAGCTCCAAGAGAGGCGCAAGGAGAACCCCGGCCCCGAGAAGGCCAGAATCGTCATAATCCTATGTGTTTTACGATGTCGATTGCTTGTTTGAGTTTTCTGGTGTATGTGACTGGAAGAGAGGTGGGAAGGCATCTGGAACGGCCGACAGTGGCTTGTAAGACGGCGAAGATCAGCCCAGGAGGGCCCCAGGAGGCTCGAAAAGCCGGCCCGGTGGGCTCCAGGAGAGGTTCTGATAGGACGCGGCGGCGCCCGGAAGCGCAGCGCATACAAAAGAGGCGGTTTTGGAAGGGAAGTGCTGGCCAGAAAGTGTCCGTGTCGCAGCCAGGGCCCCAGGGCCGGCGGAATGAGCGGGCCGCGGGGAGGACCCCAGGAGGGGTTGCGAGAGTTCTGAGGAAGGGCAGGGTACGAGGCGTGCGTGGGCAGGTGATTCAGGGGAAAGATTCTTTGAGATCTTGCGTGGGCGTCTCGCACGCCGTACCCCGTGCGGCGGCGGATCGCCTCGCTCGTTCCGCCAGCCCATATTGCCTCGCCACCGTCGTTTGTCGGGGTGTGCCTCTTGGGGCTCTCTTGGGAGGCCTTTTGGTGGTGCGAAGATGTTGTAGGCCATGCCGGTGGCGACACCCGCATCTCCCTACCTCTAACCTCACTGTGCGCTGCCCTCAAGGCGCACGCGTCTCTGGGGGGCATCCCGACTTCTGGTGCGGGCTCTGTCCCCCAGGGGGCGGGCACATGCAGATAGGCTCTTAGGCACACCCATCCCGTCCACAGGTGGCCTCTTCGGGGGTCTTGTGCGCGTCGTGGGCCGTCTGGAAGCCATCGTGGGTGTCTCGGACCGATCGTTCGACGAGTGCCACTCGGAGCGCTGCCAATTGCCCGGGGGATCGTTGTCAATGCGCTGCTGCTGGGTAGGTTTGTTGATTATCGAACACGCCTAAGGCGAATCACCGCCGCCCCCTGTCCTTTCGGATGCGCCCATGTGGCCGAACGTTGTGGCCAGAGGCCTGCCAAACTATCGGACCATGTGTTCCCCGAGTCGGTTTGGAAAACGTTCGGGGAACACGGTGGGGGAGGAGGAGGAGAAGGAGGAAAAAGGAGAAGGGGGAGGAGGCCTCTTGGTAGCCTCATGGGGCGCTCTTGGGCTCGATTGGGCCATCTTGGGACCGTGTTGGAGGCCATGTTGGTGCTATTTTGGACTCTTGGAGCCTCTTGGGGGCCTCTTGGGGCCTTTTTGGGACTTCTCGGGGGCCTCGGCCGTCTTAGGGCGTTCCTGGCCCGTCCGATGCCGTCGGGAGCCCTCTTGGGCTCTCTTGGGCCCATCTTGGGGGCGTGTTGTGCCGTCTGGGGACGATGGTGGAGACTTCTGGGGCAGTTCTGGACGCTGTGAACCCCCAAACGCCGCACATGCGAACAAAAATAAGTTTTCCAAAGGGGGTGGGCCGATTTGTTGCTTGTTGGGGCCCTCTTGGAGAGCCTCTTGAGGCTCTCATATGGTTTTGTCGCGGCCTCTGGGGCCATCTGGAGACAATTATGATCGTCTTGGCACGATCTTTCGCCGACTCGGGGTCTCTTGGGCCGTGTAGGGCGCGCCCTGGCGCCCTCTTGGCGCGCTTCTGGAGCGCCCGGGTATCGCCTGGGCATCGCCCGGGGATCGCCTGGGGTACTTTTCGTCCAGGGGTCCCCAGGGGCCGCCACTCGCGCGCGAACTAGAAATACTGTTAATCTGATACCGGAGATCTTAGCACGCCTCTGGCCCTTTGTGCCGTCGAATTAGAACGTGTCTGGGTAAGACAGCTTAGGTTTAAGCAACCTGCCGGATGAAATAAGAGCATTGTTGCGTTACTGGAATACTGATTTGCCAGAAGTGAATTTTACAGGAGGCCTATCGTAATACCAGGATGGTCGGCCCATGCTCAAGGTGCATCGACCTCCAGTCGCTTGTTGATCGCCGATGGGGGAACACAGCAGGGACACTAAATAGGATGTTGGCCTGCCAACGGGTGCCCCACTGATAATTTCTTATCTCCTGAGGGGCCCGCGTAGTTGTTGGGCGCCTTGCGAAATTCAGAGTCGACGAAGGATGCGCTTCTTCATTTCCTATTGCAAGTTTTCTGGTCGCATGCACCCATCGCAACTGCATCGACCCCCGATCGCCCATTGATTGCCGGCACGGGCTTGATAGTCGATAGCCCCCCCCCCGCCCATGAGCTTGCGGTTTCGCGATCGGTGGGTTATCCCCGATCTATCGGCGACTTATAGCCGATTCCAGGTCGACGTTCCCCCTTCTGGGCCGCAGCCGACCCTGATGTTGTCGTCGTCGTCGTCGCCTGAGTCGGCATCTCAGCCCTTTCCTTCGTCGTCGTCGTCTTGGTGGTCGTCGGGGGGGGGAGGAAGTGGCGGAGGAGGAGGAGGATGAGGGCCAAAACCCACCAAACCACCCCAACCCAACCCGAAGGCCCCAATTTGCCCTCATTCTCAGTTGGGGGGGGGAGGCGTCTCGGCGTTACCGCTACCCGGGGCTCACACACGCACACTGGGTAACGACCGCTACTGGAAATGACAGAACATGAGTAGCGCAGTGGCCTTGCAGGTGTTTTCGGACAAAGGCTATGTGAATGGAGCAGGCGCTGCTGATTTCGTGGTTGTTTCTATCTTCCCAGACGATCCAGGCTTTCGCGCCAGGATCCTCGGAGCTCGGGGTGTCTGGCATTCCCAATTCGCCTTTCACAATGAAGTGGAAGCCTTTGCTACGGCCACGAAAAGTGTCGTTGACCTGGCCGACAAGATGCTGCGGCCGCCGAGGCGGGCTCGTATACTGTGATGCCTTGCTCTTCGGTAAACACTATAAGTGGCGTCTTGCACGCTGGCGGTCGCAAGCGCGTCAGCCCATCCAGAGGGTCGCGCCGGGCACGGGGCACGCGAAGACGGATGGCAAAGCAGAGGGTGGCCGCCGAAGCGGGAGGAGGGAGGAGGCCCGAGCCGCTGAGAGGCGACAGAAGACGGGAGCGCGCAGGCAGCAACGACCGTTACAGGAGATGATGAAGCAAAATAAAATTCGCCGAAACGAAACCAACCCGAAACGAATCATCGAATAATTCGTCGAAGTGAATAAACCGAATCAATCGCAGCTGCAGAACAAAACTCGCCGAAACGAAAAATGACCGACGCGTGAGAGTGACTTGTCGCCGGAGTGACCTCGGGCGGGGGCCCACTCGGGTTCCCCGATCGCCGAACGCGACGCGGCAGTGGCGTCTTTCGCGCTTGTGTTTGGCCCCCCCGCGGCCCCCGAAGAGCCGCGCACCAAAGGTCGGCCACGCGCAGAGGAAGCTAGGGGGAGGGAGGAAGGCTTTTTAGAAGCACCCCTGTTCACCACCTACCAAACCACCCCAACCCAACCCGAAGGCCCAAATTTGCCCTCCATTTCCAGTGGGGGGGGGGTCGGGGAACGTGGATAAAACACATATGAAGCCCGTACCCCCCCCAACCCGAAAGTCGGGGCTTCGGGTTGGGTTGGGGTGGTCTGGTAGGTAGTCCCCTGTTTCTTAGACGGCGCGGGCCTCGCCTGCAGATGCAGGGCCGGCGCCTCCTGAGTAGCGGCCTCCTTCTTTCTAAGAAGCCTGCCCCCGTCCCCCTACCCTCTTGTGCGCGCCGCCGAACAGGCCACTCTGACCCAGGGGCGCTCTTGCGTGCACAGTGGAAACCCATGTCAAGAGACAACCTGCTTGCCTCCAGGGTGCCCCTTGGTTTCTTGGGCGCCGGTGGTTTTGCCATGGAAAGCGTGGCGCCCCCACACCACACAGCAATGGACGCCCTCGGGTCTAAGCGTTGGGTCTCTTGTGGGAGGTTTCTCGTGCTCGAGCTCCTGCTGCAGCCGAGGGGGCCAGAGGCAGAGGCCCCCTGCACCACTGTGCGCGCAGGGCCGCGCCGGGCGGCCCCCGGCGGCGCTGGCGGTCCCGAAGAGGCGGCCCGAGCCGCCGGCCCGCGGGGTGGCGACGCCGCAGCAGTCGCACCGCTCGGAGGAGCGCGCTGCGCAGCGCACGGCTGCGGCCGCGTGCGGGCCCTGCCCCTGTGGGCCCCCTCGGCGGTGGGGCATCTTCAGGGGCAGCGATGGGGGGGGTAGGCATAAAGGGGGGGATCCTCTTCCTCCTCCTCCTCCTCCTCCTCCTTCTCCTCCCCCTCCTCCTCCTCCTCCTCCTCCTCCTCCCCTCCTCCTCCTCCTCCTCCGGCCAGCTGGAAGAACACAGTCGTTACAGTCATACCAAAAAGACCTCGTGCGTCCACAAAACGACCGCCCCATTTGCACGATACCATTGTTGTACAAGCTCTTCAGCCGACTAGTCTCACACCACACTGCGGACCAGGCGGGCTTCAGACCAGTTCACTCGACCACTGACCACCTCCTCACCTTCCATCTATTGCGCGAGCGAGCAAGCGAGCAAACGAATGGGGCCAACACCTATGGGTCGCAGCACTTGACTTCAAGAAAGCTTTCGATTCATTTGAACACAAGAGCAGATGGGCAGCACTGAAGGCACAAGGGGTCCAACCTGGATGCGTTGCACTACCCCAACAGCCCTATGAGGGACAGACAGCCACGGTGAGGACAGACGTCAGCAGCGGACCCTTTAGCCTCCTGCGGGGCACGAAGCAGAGAGACCCACTCAGCTCCCTACTCTTCAACGTTCTTCTACAATACATCCTTGGACCGCTGGTCTCCGAATGGCAGCCAAAATGGAAGGAAGTTGAATTGGGATTCGCGAGCACCGCCACGCTGAACTACCTACGCTTCGCCGACGACGTGCTCCTGACCAGCCAAACTCTCCCGCGCCTGACAGCGATGCTTGACGACATTGTGCGCGAGACGAGGCTACACGGGCTCGAACTACACCCAAGCAAAACCAACATACTGAGCAACCAGACGAGAAGGACTGGAAGGGTGAGCTCACGCACAGCACGGTTCCAAGACACGGATATAGAAATCGTTCCATACGAGGGCAGTGTCACATACCTCGGCCAATTGATCAGCTTCAACGAATCGATGGAAACGGGAATCCACCACCGCACGCGAACTGTATGGGCATCATTCACATCTCGCAAGCAGGAGCTGACCAGCAAACACTACCCACTGGCCCACCGACTCCGACTTTTTAGCAGCACTGCAGCATCAACAGCGTTATACGGAGCAGAGACGTGGACCCTCACGGAGCCTCTACGGCAGCATCTACGACGGACACAACGACGCATGCTGCGCATAATCATCAGAACGCCACGGAGACGCACAACGAAAGAAGCCGGCCCTCACAGCGGCCAGGGACCTAATGTCGACGGCGCGAACAACGAAACACAAGACCACGAAGACCGCACCAACAGCACTAGCGACGACGCAGACAGCAACCCATCACAGTGTGATGCACCTGACGCGCCTGACAAGCACAGCGAAGACGGCGAAGACAGCACCGCCGCAGACGAAATGGAACTATGGGTCGACTACATCCAGCGAGCGACACGACGCGCAGAGCACCTCATGAAGCTCCACCACATTGACAATTGGGAAACGCTGCACAAACGGAAAGTATGGCGCATGGCTTCTCGAGTCGCAAACCACGACCGGACGAGGTGGACATGGCGAGTGCTGCGCTGGCACTCTGTCCTCAACCCGCGCCGGCGGGGACAAAGGCAGCACGGTGGCCAAAACAAGCGTTGGGACGACGAAATCACCACTTACTTACGTCAACGCAGACCAGACCTCCACCGACCGCCCACGCAAGCCCATTCGAAAGGACAACCGAACGACATCACATGGACGCAAACAGCCCAAAACACCAAAGCATGGACAGCGCCCGAGCACCACTTCACCGACCTCACGTCGACCAGCACCTGGGACTCCGACCAATGCCGTAAAATCTCAGCTAACGTCGAAACGTCTCGACCAACCCGCGCCGACACCGACACCAAGGACTTCCTTTTCCTCCTCCTCCCCCTCTCCTCCTAGCTTTTGAATGTCTCGCATTGCATGTATCCAGACACTTCAGATCTTAGAGGCCATGGCCTCACCCACCTGGTCTGCTCTAGGCCCGGACGCTGTCCGCAACGGTGGTCGCATCGCATCGCATCGCCTCCTCCTCCTCCTCCTCCTTCTCTTTCTCCTTCTCCCGTTCCTCCTCCTTCTCCTCCTCCGGAACCAGGCCCGGAACCGCGCCCGCGCCCATGAAGAGACCCGGCGTGGCGTCAGAGCCGCGGCCGAGGCGGCCGAATGCATCGACCACCAATCGCCCACTTGATCACCGACAAAGGCCCGATAGTCCCAACATGCCCAGGAACGTGCGGACTCACATCGCCGACGTATCGCCGATTCCATGTCGATGTGTCCCCCCCATATGCCTGTCCCCCCCTTATCGTTGTCCGTCACACACGTTTGCGACCACTTGCGAGCCCTACCCCGGCGGGTCCACTCGGCAGTGGGGATATCTATACGCCTCCGAGAAATGGTCGGAGCAGTTGTGCCCAGAAGGACGCGCCGCATCGCCGATGCATCGGCGATGCGGCTCGGTGTGAAGCCCGATTTTCTCCACGCCGACGTCGCCGATGCATCGCCGATGCATCGGTGATTCGTCTGCGACGAGTCCACGGGGGACATTCGGTTGCGAACTCAGGTGCGAATGCAGAGGGGGCGGGCCTTCTCGGAAGGCTCGGAAAGCTTCCAAAGCCTTCTCCGAAAACAGAGGCGGCTTCGTAGAAGGCGGGAGGGCTTCTAAGAAGCCCCGCCGCCTTCTGAAAAGGCTTGCCCTCTTTCATTTCGCCCCCCAGGCTCGCCGCCGACTACCCTTGCGGAGTCGATCGGTGGTGGGCTATCGGACACCCCCGCTAGGGTTGATTTGGTTGCAGAAGTGTTTCGAATTCTGACCCCGCGCGAGTTTTCACAAGTCTGACCTGCAAGGGTAGGGCCCACGCGTGGTTGCCTAGCACTCCGCTCGTACCTCCGTCTCGGACAAGCGAGGCGGCTATGTTCTCAAGAGTACGACGGAAACAGTCTCGTGAATCGGTTATGGCCTTTTCCCGGTCCTCTCAGATGGCCAGCGCGCCTCGCAGCGCGCCCGTCGCCCAGCCATGGGCCGCCTCCGGGCGATGGCGGTTCGCAATGTTCGCAAAAAACGACGGAAACAGCGACGGCAAAGCGGGGTGGAAAAATCGGCACCACAGAAAGAGGCTTGGAGAGCGCGGCGGGGATGTCCGCCCTGCTCACGGCATCGCCCAGAGTACAGCGGATTCGGGCTTGGGGCTCCGCTCGACCCCGGCCCAGCCCCGGGCGTCCCTCGGCTCCACGCCGCGCGGCCCGCGGGGGGCCGTGGCCTGGCCGGCCGCTCCGGTGTCGCCGCACCGGACGTCGGCTGTCGTGAGCCGTCGCACCTCGAGGGCCGCGATCCGAGAAGTCGGAGACCTATGGAGATTGTCACCAGCACAGATATCGGCGACCTGCCTCCATCGAGGGAAGATGATGCCGATCTCGGCGATGGTGGTAAGATTCGGGCTTCTCGGGTGGCCGCAACATGACCAGCACCACCATCCTTTCCCCGGTGGAGGCAACCCCCTTGTGTTGGTGTTGGTGCTCATGTCCGGGCCTCCTCAGAAAGAAGAGATCGGATCGCAGCGCTCGATCAAATCCGAAGGTCTGCAGCCAGCGCGTGCACGATAGGGAACAGAGGGGCGACTGGCAGTGGACGGGAAGAGGAAGCCCGCCGGGGCACCGGGGAGTGCACAACGGCAGGGACGCCCCAGAGCCTTCCTCACGCACGGCTACGACGGCCATCCCTTGGCTCCACGGTCTGAGAGCGCAGCCGATGGCCGCGCACCGCCCGCGGTGCCGCTCTTCCCGCTCCACTGCTGGCCCTTCTTGCACGCGCTGGTCCTCCTCCTCAGGGAGCCTCCTCCTCCTCCTCCTCCTCCTCCTCCTCCTCCTCACCCACACATGGTCCAGGCCGTCAGGTGTGTCCTGCGTGTCCAGAAGCCTTTGGGGGCACGACAACACAGGCAAAGCACCAACAAAACATAGTTTCTCAATTTTTTGTCCTCGGTCATTAATTCTCCATCTTGCCTCGACCCTTCGCCCCCATCATCCATATTATACCCTTCATCCTTGACTTCCCGTCCTTCCTCCTCGATCTTCCATCCCCAAATCTCCATCCTCCATCTCCTCCCCTCCGCCTCCTCCACCACCTCCATCTCATCCTCGGGCCGCTGAAGAGGAAACGTAGGAGCAGGAGGAGCAGGAGGAGGAGGAGGACCAGTGGATTCCAACGCCACGGATCAACTTGATTGCTGCGTCTTGGCAATCCTGAATCGTTCCAGAACGCCATTCCTGGGACTTTAACACCGCGAACGAACGTAACTGTTGCACCCTCATGATGCGGAATCAGTCCAAAACACTAAGTATGTTACGCTATCATGGGAACCCGTGAAACTCTAGCAAATTTAGAGAACGGATGTGCGCGGTGTCAAGGCGAGAGCCAATTGTTGAAAAGGAACATGAAGGAAGTGTCCTCAATCCGTGAAGCTTTTGAAAACGAAGGCACGCGGCGCTAAGGCGAGAGCCACATTTTGAAAACGATTCGCCCTCAATCCGTGAAACTCTTGCAGATATTTAAACGATTGTGCGCGGCGCTAAGGCGAGAGTTACATTTTGAAAACGACCCGCCCTCCATGTGTGAAATTGTTGACACTTTTTAAGTTCAGGGTCTTAAGTTGTGAGGAAGTCTCAAGCGAAACGCCCAATCCGCCCTAAAAACTAGCCTCGGGGTGCGACAGGGAGAAGTTATTCATAACGAAAAGGAATGGAGGAGGACGACGAGGAGGAGGAGGACGACGAGGAGGAGGAGGAGGTGGAGGAGGAGGCGGGAGGAGCAAGATGCCGGATGTTCCCCCTCCTCGATCTTCCATCCCCCGCCCCCTGGCTCCACGGACAAAAAACCCGATCCTCGATCCTCGATCTTAGATCCTCGACTCTTCTCCTGGTGCGCCGTGCGCCGCAGCGCAGGAGGGGGGAGCGCCCCCCCCCCCCCCCGTAGAGTCGACCGCAGGGGCGAGCAGTCCGTGGGGGGAGCAAGAGCGCGCACGGCTGGCGTTGCACAGAGGGCGTGCGATGTGGCGCCGGTCGGGCCGCTCATTATTCGGCTATGCGCAGAAGGGGTGGTGGGGGCAGAGGGGGAAAGCTTCTTTGAGTAGGGGAACAAAATGTGACATAAACATAACAACTCGGAGGTCCGCGCGGACCTCCGAGTTTTTATGTTTATGTCACTTTTTGTTCCCCTATTGAAGCACCCCTGCCTCTTATCAGGCGCGGGCCTCACCTATTGTAGGGACGGCGCCTTCTACGAAACAGCCTCCCTCCAAGGAGCCTTCCCCCCTCCCCCTTACACATTGTTCATTCCTAATTCTTCGAGTTTTGGGGGGCCAAGATCCTTCCATTTCTAATTGTTCGATCCTGGGCCTCTTCCTGGCCACTAGGGGGCAGGAACAATTAGAAACGAGCACAATTAGAAATGAGCACGATTAGAAATGAACGACGTGTACCCCCCTGTGCGCGTCGCCAAATGACATGCTATCCCCCACCGTGGGACTAGCGTGCACCGAAAGGGGGCCTGTCAGAGGGATGGCGTGCACAGAAGGGGCTATCGCAGCGGGATCGCCTCACAGGGATAGCGTGCACGGAGGAAGCTTCATTTTGGGGGGATAGCGTGATTTTCGGAGACGGGCGTTGCACGCTATCTTTGCGACGCCAACCGCATCCTGGGGTACCGGCGGTCGATGTCTTCGGCGAGGCTTCCGGGGGGATGCGTGTACTGCCCGCCCCTAGGCTCTTCCCAGAACTCCGACATCGCAATTGTTTCGCAGCGTCCATCCCCAGAGGTCATGGACCCCCCTCCGCTGGGGCCGTGTTCTCATCCCGGGCCGTTTCTGGACGGCTCCTGGGCCTGGCGAGGGCCCTCGGAGACCGACGACGGCCAAAGACCTCCTGCCGTACAGTTTTCCGCCCCCCGAAGAAACTGGAAGGAGCTGCTTGCCCGGCCGCCCGGCCCCGCCCACCTTCCCTGACTCCAGATCCGCCCTACTTTGGTTTTTTTTCCAATTAAAAGTTGCGTCGGAAATCCACCTGTAAGAAGCCGAAAGAGTAGGGCGGAAATTTCTGCACCCAACATAAAATAGGGCGAAAATCCACAGAAGCAGGGCGGAAACAACAACAGAAAAGCAGGGCGGACATTGGCATCAGCGGGGCTTGAAAAGTGAGGCGGAAATTCCAAGCCCCACTTACGAATTTCCCTAAAGTAGGGCGGATCCGGAGTCAGGGTTCCCCCCCACCCCGGAGAGCCTCACTGTGTCGCTTGCGCCGGTCCCAAGGGGGTGCGCAGCATCGGTGCGCGCCGGCATGCGTGGGGCTGCCCCCAGCGGTTCGGTCTCCTCGACCGGCACCTCCCTCGCCCCTCCCCCACCGGATCGCCGAGAGATGGAGAGCGATAGCGAGGAGGCGGGGGCTCGCCCCCCCCCCCTTCGCCGCCTGCGATGCCCCCCAGGAGGCCGAGGCTGAGGCGGAGCCGCCGGGGGGCGAGCACGCAGAGCTGGACGGGTGGCTGCTAGGGCTGGACGGAGGCGCAGGCCCGCCGAGGTAGGAGGAGGAGGAGGAGGAGGAGGAGGAGGAGGAGGAGGAGGAGGAAGAAGAAAACCAGAGTAAACCATATATGCATAAGCGATGCACCAACGTACCCTCCCGTCCCAAGTCCCCTCTTCATTCCCAACCATCCTGTGGTGTTGGGTCCTCGTTTTGAAATAACGGTCCCCGCGTTCTCCTCCTTCTCTTCCTCCTCCCCCTCCTCCCTCCTACCCCTCCTCCCTGCGTCTCACCCACCCAGTACAGCGCTTCGTGGCCCCATAGGGAGCTCCACCGAAGGCCCCAGTGGCAGGGTTCGCATGGCGGCCCCGACCCATTTTGGCGCACCCCTCACACGGTTCGTGGCACCATAGGGAGCTCCACCGAAGGCCCCAGTGGCAGGGTTCGCATGGCGGCCCCGCTTCTTTTTGGCGCACCGTTCACACGATTCGTGGCCCCACAGGGAGCTCCACCGACAGCCTCGGTGGCAGGGTTCGCATGGCGGCCCCGCCCCAGTTTGGCGCATCCCTCACACGATTCGTGGCTCCATAGGGAGCTCCACCGAAGGGCCCCAGTGGCAGTGTCGCATGGCGGCCCACTTCTTTTTGGCGCACCCCTCACACGGTTCGTGGCCCCATAGGGAGCTCCACCGAAGGGCCCCAGTGGCAGGGTTCGCATGGCGGCCTTGCTTCTTTTTGGCGCGCCCCTCACACGGTTCGTGGCCCCATGTGGGGGCTCCACCGAAGGCCCCAGTGGCAGGGTTCGCATGGCGGCCCCGCGCCTTTTTGGCGCACCCCTCACACGGTTCGTGGCACCATTGTGAATTCCCCTTGCTTCGTCCCACCTGCCCTTCGGTTCTCGCACTTGCGTATGGTCGGGTCCTTGGCCAGCGTAGTTGTTTCCCCACAAGGGTTATGGCTTCTTCCCTGCCGCGTTGCACCCGCGTCTCCTCCCACCCTCCCTCATCCCTCTTCCCTCGTCCTCTTCCTCGCCTCACCCGCGCGCAACACATGCACGGCGCGTACATGAGACACGCGTCTACATGCAGCCGCACGCATGCACATACTCGCACACACCATGCAACAAAGCTAGTGCACGCATGGCGTGTTCACTGCATCATGCATCCACGACGTCTGCGCCAAACACTGGCCACCCACATGAGGCACACGTCCATATTCAACCGCACACGCATTGACACGCACACCACACAACACATACGCGCAATATTCGAAGGGACCGGCAGGCGCGGGCGGTCATACGACACGGGCGCCGCACCCACACATGCAACACATGCACATCCACATGACGCGGCAGGCGTGACGGTTTCTCGATGCCACAGGGGGTGCGCAGGGGGTGCGGTCGTTATCCGTCGTACGCTCGCAAAGCGTTGCAGGCGTACACTTCATCGCTCTTTATCGACACCACAAGGAAGTGCGCAGGAGGTGCGGTTGTTATCCGTCGCACGCTCGCAAAGCGTGTCAGGCGTGGCAATTTCTCTATGCCACAGGGGGGTGCGCTGGGGGTGCAGTCGCTATCCGTCGTGCGCTTGCAAAGCGTGGCAGGCGTGCACTTTCTCGACACCACAGGGGGGTGCGCTGGGGGTGCGGTCGCTATCCGTCGTACGCTCGCAAAGCGTGGCAGGCGTGCACTTGATCGACGTCACAGGGGGGTGCGCAGGGGGTGCGGTCGGTATCCGTCGCACGCTCGCAAAGCGTGTCAGGCGTGGCAGTTTCTCTATGCCACAGGCGGGTGCGCAGGGGGTGCGGTCGCTATCCGTCGTACGCTCGCAGGCGTGGCAGGCGTGGCATTCGCTCGACTCCAGACGGACTGTGGAGGGGGTGGGGGCGGTGGTCTTTGCACAGGCGCAAAGCGTGGCAGGCGTGGCAGTTTCCAGTTTCTCGATGCCACGAGGGTGTGCGCTGGGAGTGCGGTCGGTATTCCTCGTACGCTTGCAAAGCGTGACAGGCGTGGCAGTTTCTCTATGCCACAGGCGGGTGCGCAGGGGGTGCGGTCGCAATCCGTCGTATGCTCGCAAAGCGTGGCAGGCGTGCAGCTTCTCGACGCCCGAGGGTGCGCGCTCGTACGCTCGGCGCTTGCCATCAGTTGCATCCAGAGCTGCACGCATGGTGAACAGTCCGCCGACCTCTGCTTGCTGGGGGTGAAAAGGCGTGTGAGACATTTGGCTGTCCCCCCTCGACGAGTACGAAGATGGTATGTGAACACACGCTTCGTAAAAGAAGTATGTGGGGTTCCTCGGTTGTGTAATTTGCGTCGGCGGCTAGGCAGAGTGGCTGCTCTGGCGGAGAGGCGTATGTGTGATGCGCGAAGCGCGAATTGTACGCCGCGGTGCACGGGGGGAGGGAAAAGGGCCCGGCGCAGGCAAGAGGGAGCGAGGAGCCGGGCCCGCTCAGAGGGGGCCGGCGGCGGCGGCCAGCGGCGGCGGGGCAGCAGCTGGGGGTGGGGGTCCGGGGCACCAGCAGAACGCGAGCGCCCGGGGGGGAAGGCCCAGCGGAGCTGGAGGCAGAAACGTGGTCGCAGAGGGCCAGAGGGCAGCCTCCCCGACGAGGCGGCGCACGGAGGCCCGGCGGGCGTGCAGAAGGGGCACGACGCGCGAGAGCGGGCCCGCCGGAGGGAGGAGCCTGGCCAGGAGCCGAGGAGGCCGAGGTCGCGGCGGACCTGCAGGGCACCCCAGTGGCGAGGCGAGGGAGGCCGAGCAGCCAGAAGTGCCCAAGCGGGGCCAGGCAGCCCCGGGGTGGAGGACGCGGCGGGCGGAGGCGAGGGCGGGGCCAGCGGGAACGGAGGTCACACGTGGCCGGCGAGGCGCCCAGGGGGGCCGGGTGAGGACCGCACCGAGAGGCGTGCCGCTGGCGGGTGGGGGCAGGGGGGGCACCGAGCGAGTGCCAGGCTGGGGGGGAAACGAGGCGGCAGTCGGGCGCCGCGGCTGCCGAGGTCGCGGAGGACCTGCGGGGCACCCCGGCAGTGGCGCGAGCCCCTCCTCACACACGCCCTTGTGAGTTCTCTTATGCACTACGGGAAGCGCCACTCCTTCACCGTTGGAAGACCTGCAGGCCCGGGCCTGCCATTTTGTGGAGAGCCCCACTCTGCAAAAGGAGCTGCCTTGTAACTCCCTGGCGCGTAGTCAGGAACGCGAGAGGACAACGATCATACCAGGTGTCCCGCGAGACACCCCTTCCGAGCAATGACCGCTCCCCACTCGTCTAATTGTTGCACAAGTGTGTCATTGTAGCCATGAGCTTCGAGGAAGTCTCAAGCGACAGCACCATCTTCAAAAAGAGCCGCCATGGATCCGAGCAGCGCTACGTGTGTTGAAACTGGCAAAATCTGAAGCGAGAGCTCCCTTGTGAAAAATAGCAGTCTTCCATCCTGCCACGCGTTGCATGAAAAAGGGTTGCCTGCGGCGCTAAGTCAAGGGCCACAGTTGAACATGCGCCGCCTCCCCATCCTTGAAACTAGAGCAAAATTCAAGTAATAATTCTCGCGGCTTCAAAGCGAGAGTGCCATCTTGAAATCGACTTCCCTTCCTTACATAAAGACGCTGCAACCGTTTAAGACGGATGCGCGTGGTGCTACGGCGAGACCCACCGATTGAACACCACCAGCGCTCCATCCGTGAAGCTGTTGCAAACTTGTAACCCGAACGCGTGCGGCGCTGAGGCGAGAACCACATTTCGAAATGAGCCGCCCTCCATCTGCGAAGCGAGCGCGCGCGGCGCCGAGGCGAGAACCGTATTTGAAAACGACCCCCTCCACCCGTGAAGCTGCTGCAGCGTCTAAGACGAGGGCGCGCGGCGCTAAAGGCGAGAGCAACAGTTTGAAGCATACACGCGCTCCGCCCGTGGATCGAGTGCAGACGTTTTCCTTGGAGAGGGCGTAGGCCCAGGGTTCTCTTTTCGAGGTTTGCCCCCGGAGATGGGCCGGCGAATTGCTTTCGCGATAAGTGACGAGGTCGCGAAGGGCCGGCGACTTACAATTTGAGGACGTCTCGAGCGAAACGCGTGTTTTTCAGAATTTGTTGAGGATGTCTCGAGCGAAACGCTTGTTTTGTGTTATAGATGGTCCTCTCCTGGGGACCTGAATTCTGAGGATCTCTCAAGTTGATTGCTTGTTTTCACGTGCCCAGGTCATGAGGATGTCTCGAGCGAGACGCTTGGTTTCACGCCTCCAGGTGGCCCAGACAGATGTCTAGCATGAGGATCTGTTGAGGATGTCTCGAACCAGAGGCTTGTTTTCACGTGTCCAGGTCGCCCAGGCGGATATCTAGCATGAGGATGTGTCGAGGAAGTCTCGATCGAGACGCTTGTTTGCACGTGTCCAGATTGCCCAGGCGGATGTCTAGAATGAGGAGGTGTTGAGAATGTCTCGAGAGATACGCTTGTTTTCACGTGTCCAGGTCGCCCAGGCGGATGTCTAACATGAAGATGTGTTGAGGATGTCTCGAGCGAGACGTTTGCTTTCACGTGTACAGGTCGCCCAGGCGGATGTCTAGAATGAGGAGGTGTTGAAAACGTCTCGAGCGAAACGCTTGTTTTCACGTGCCCAGGTCACCCAGGCGGACGTCTCACATGAAGGTGTGCTGAGAATGTCTCGAGCGAACGTTTTCACTGGTCCAGTTCGCCCAGACGGATGTCTAGCATGAGAGTGTGTTGAGGATGTGTTGAGCGAAACGCTTGTTGTCACGTGTCCAGGTCGCTCAGGCGGATGTCTAGCATGAGGATTTTGACAGGATGTCTCGAGCGAAACGCTTGTCCCCAGCACGTTCCGTAGCGCGTCCCCTTGGCACGTCCCGCGGTGCAACCCCATGGCACGTCCCCTGGCACGTCGCTTGGCGCGTCCCTTGGGACGTTTCGCGGCGCGTCCTCCTGGCATGTCCCCTTGTCGATTAGTTGTGGGGCAGCTTCTATGTGTTCAGGCAGCTCGAGCTTAAGATCCAGATCAGTTCGATCAGGACTCGGATGCAAAGGAGGACTCGATCTACAACGCTATTGAG